TTTAAAACCAGTTCCACAGCATCTGTGATGAGAGAGAATATATCTAGTAAATTTTGTAGAGTGTCTACTCCTAGTATTTCCATTTCTTTGACGCTTGTTGTCGTTACTATAGAAGCTAATGGTACTTCAGATATTGAATTTGATTTACTCTTCAGTTTTTCTTTCTTCTTATCCAAGCCATGTATATAGAATTGTAGTTTCTCGTTTATAAGGTCGTATTTTGATTTAAGTATGAATAATAGATTGTAGAATTGAAACTCCTTAAAAGTTAGCAGCATGATTGGTGCAAAACAAATGAACCAGTAGCAGGACGAATTGAAACCTAAATCTGGTATTGGTTGTATAACAACGCAGTTAACCATAGATAATGTCGTCGGTACCAGAAACAGTAATGTGAATTCAATTAATAATCGCCGACGTAACTGTTTATAATCTATTTGCACATTCATATACACCTTCAGATATTGATCTATTTTGTAAATTAAATTGCATAATTTTAGCATATTCGGTAGATGAAGCCATGATGTTAACACTGCTAAGCCGCCTAATAGAAAAAGTGAACCAATTTGTGCCCAACTTGTGATGAATGGAATTTCTGATTGTATGTGTCCCCAGTGATTTGTGATGCTCATCTGATGTACGGCATAACTGAAACCAACTTTAAAGTTTGCGATTTAATTGCTTATTTTTTAAAATTAATTTGCATCTATTTACCAATATAGATAATGGCACTAATCACAGTCCAAGTAGCAGAGCATATATCCAATTTTAGTCTTCCATATTTACTATGTAAATTTTCACCATTTTTTAGGTCGATGGGCGCGAAACCGAAAAGTTTGAAAATACACAAAAATGGATACAAAACATAACCGAATTCATTACTCGGAAAACCTTTCGACCAACATTCCTTCAATACCAATAGCTGTGGCATTTTTATATTTTCCATAAATATTTTAATAACTTTTTACACCTCTTTGACGTTATCACCTCGGGGAACAATTAAATACTAATTTTGTTATCATTTTTGCTTATGGCTTAATTGTATTGTAATGTAATTACTTTATTAAGAATTGTGTTCTGCAAGGACATGCGTGGTTCAATACAAAATTACAGGGTGCTTTTAGTTTGCATATAAGTATAGTAATTGAGTAAACGTTTAAAATGTGAAGTTCTTTCATTTTATATATGTGTATATATATACATATATTTTTCTTTTACGAGGATGTGGTGGAATGCTTTATGCATCGTTAAACTGAATATCGCTGGAATAGTGTGTTCGACTCGTACTGAGTAGTTTACGAACTAAAACACCTCTTCTTCTTCTTCTTCAGGATTTCACCCTCTGAGATCGCTTTTACTTTTATATTACTTCAGGGACGTTCCTTTATAACTTGGGTATACATGCCATATGCTACGCGTAGAACCTGTATTCACGCCCTTTTTTTATTTTTCTTATATTCAACACTAATAAAAGGGTAGTATAAAAGTTTAAGTAAATTATTTCATTATATTTTAACATGACTTATAACGAAAGTGACTGTTTTACTTAATATAAAGTATTGTATTTAATAGAGATGTTTCGAACTGTGATGAACTAAGACAACAGAAATCTTTTTAATATTTTAAATAATCACATTTTTTGACTGACCTTGAACACTGACTCTGAGCTTCAAATTTGGCAGGGTACAACTTTAACCCTAGCTACTTAAAGTCTCAATATTTATTTACGATTAATTAAATATAAGAAATAATCCCAATTCCACTGATGATATGTATTTGACAATATTTGAAACAGTTGTATGGTCAGCTAAAAAATTCTATTAATTAAAATAATAATAAAACTTTTCTTGTTGTAGTTCATTACTATTCGAAGACTTTCTATTAAAATATTTTTGTAGAACAGTGGGACTCAACATGAGATCAATAGTGATTGAACGTGGATCATACCAATTTATGAAGATATATCCATATTAGCTTTAATAAAATGCTTGATATATTTTTTAATATAAGATATTTCAGGGAATATAGAATATGTTAACTTTGTTAAGTAAATATATAATCTGAGATCGTGGCTTATATGTAATGCTATCTCCGTATTTATCCAAATTTTTTTACAGGTTTTCAGTATTATTTTATTTACAGCTACGAGTACCTATAATGCATAAGAACATAGTTGTCATATCTTTTACAGACGAACTCAAAAAATTGGACCCTGTAATGTAAAGCGCGTTAACCATGTAAACTATTATCAGCAGATCAAATGAGGCATCTAATGGAATTAAGTTTTACTAATTTTAATTGAAAAAATTAATCATTCAATTGTATTAATTAAGAACCAAACATTATATATAAATAGGACATGTTGAATGTATGTTATTAATTAATATTGAGCGCCTAGTTAACATAACAATTTAACTAAACAAAAATTAATGGTTTTAGACATGATTTTCGCATGTATTAAACTAAAAGTAAAATAAAAATGTTAGATAAAATAAATATTTTTGATAACGGATTTAAATACAGTGATTATTGATATTGATTATTTTTTTTATAATAAGCTTAAAAACTATCCGACTGTAGAGAATAGATGAGAACAAAACTAAATATTTATACTTGAAAAGCATATTAAAATCCTCCTTTATAGGTTCATCATGAAAAGCGTAAACCGAGTATGAAGAGCAGTTAATATATGACTACAGTCAATAAAACTACAACACAATCGTTAAAATAATTCTTTTGTAGGGAGCAAAAAAAAGGTTAATCAAAATAACATCTGTAGAAATAATGCCTAAGAAGAAGAAGAGTTGTGTGGAAAACTACGTGTAATACAATACGAATGATCGCAAAAAAATTAGTAATGGAAAGTTCACATTCAATAAAAACTCAAGTTCCACCAATTTTATTGGTTTGGTCATGTATCAGATATGCTATAATCGAAAATTTCTGAAGAAATAAATTCTGAAGGAGGAATACCTGTTGGAGGCTCAAGAGTAATGGAGTTCGGAAGAAAGTTTTCAAGACAGCGAAATAAAAACGAAAAACAAAGACGAAAAAGAAGAATGGCGGAAAACCGTCAGAATGTAAGGTATTTGTATACACCCACTTATCTAGCATTTTTATTAATGGTTATACCATTGAAATGTGTTAAAAATGGGTTTTGATAAAAAAAGAAGAAATTAATAGGTTTGTGTATAATATTTAAAAAAAATTAATTATATCCGACTCTTTAGAAATTAATAGCATGTGCCTCGTAATTACAAGCAACAAACGGAAGGTGAATTGGTTAAAGAATTGTAAAATAATGATATATCTGAAAGTGAAGAATATATTATTCTTTAATTAAGAATTATTGATTAAATAATAAATCATTGTATTCCATTCTTTTTCTTCTTGCTCTGCTCTCTTTCTTTTTCTTATTCTACTCTCTTTCTTTTTCTCCTTCTACTCTCTTATTAAATTAGATAGTCATTTGTTTGTTTGTCATAGTCTTATACTGGACATGTTATGCACAATGCACTTTTAAACTGTAGTAGCTAATAGGGTCAAAAATAAAGTTGGGAAAATCTATTTCAGTAATAGTTCTTCCGATAGTGACTATAAAACTCAATTATTTGGCTTTATATTTCATATAATTGGATTGCAATGGGAGTCGTTAACTACTGTTGTGAGAGACTGCTGTTTAATCATCCGTTCGTGCAATGTATAATATATATTGTAGACTTCTAACGTCAATCATAACTTCTTGTCAATCGGCAAGGATCCTGAAAGTTCATAAACATTTTTTTTCTCAAAGTTTATCTAATGAACATTAAATTATTATTTATTCAATATCATAATTTTTTAGATTTGTTTCCCGAGCTTCCCGTTTAAATTCTCTCTTAATTTAAATGTATGTACTATTTGGTGACAAATTTATGTGTGAAAGACGAAGATTGGGCGGCGATCGTACGGTCAAAGTTCCAAATTTTAGATTTGGATAAGGATAAGATGGTTTTGGGTGTCTCTAATATTTAAGTGGTGTGTGGCGTATGTAAGTAACTAATTGCTTTCAATGAAACAAAAATTAAAATTGTCTTTATATACATTTTATTATTACATTTATTTTTCAACCTAAATATATAATATGTACATATTTAATTATAGTAAAAAAACATAACTAAAAATAATTAAATAGAACCAAATAAAAATAAAAAAAATTAACAAATATATAAAAAACAAATTTACAAAGCGTCTTTTAAAAAGTCCAAAATAAAAAGTATTTAAGTGGAAACCACAAATGAATGAGGACAACATCTGTTGCTGTTCAATGCATATACTATCCTATTATCCTTATTTTTTTTTAGAATTTCTAAAACGGTGGATCTTCTGAGCAATATACGGATCCATGCATTATTGCTAAATATTTTTTTAATTTTACTAGTGTCAACTTTAAAACTACGCTGGAAGTGTCAATTGTTCGAACCTAACCTTTTACAATTTTTGACTATAATGAAAATAAATTTAAGATATTCTAATGGGTCACTGAAATAGTAAATTCCAGACACTGCGAGCGTAGTTTCCAGTATTTCACATTAAATTACTAAAATAAAAATGTAGAAAAAAAATGGCGATTTAACATGAATTTTCGCACTAAAGTGGCACGAAATTTGTTAAGTGTATTGTTTATAATGAAATTCATCTCCGGCTCTTATGCATCATAGTTTCCAGAAAGCTAGGGTCTAATGTGGACGCATGCTCTAAGTCTTCCGTGCTGGCATTTTCTTCAGCTACATTAACGAACGCACTCGATAGTTCACCATTAAGCTTATTCACAGCACCTGTGGTTATGTCGTACATGAATATTTCCTGATCAACATTGTCTGGAGATCTGTAAGAATACATTTTTATACAAAATAAACGAATAAATTTTAAATGAAGTCAAATGCTTACTTTGCTACTAAAAGTACAACGGATTGCATTTCAACATCTGTTTTTGATTCCTTTTCCAGCCAGCGTTTAAAATTTTCTTTTGTCGGTTTTTTGACAAGAGTCTTTATAAGATCGCCACCTAAGAATTTGACTTCTTTATTTTCAGCGTTTGTATCACGTTCAATGCGTCCCTCACTGGCCTCAACAGGTGCTAGTACGACCACACTAACAACTTTCTTACCACGCAATTCCTCGCTGTCTGGTATGGGGAACTGAGCACCATTAATTTTTAATGGCAAATAACGATTATATTGACGATCAGCTAAGTCGACAGGTGGTACGACTGTTGCATCAGTCTTCAAATACTTATCTGTTACGCTCTTCTCATTGTTTGCATTGAAACGTACGACTTTGACATCGAGATTATGTTTTTGTGGTAAAGAGTTGCTCTCTTTAACTCGCTCAATTTCTTTTTCAGAAAGCGCTACTTTATCACCATTTGGTTTTACTACCGTTACAACCTTGTTAGATTCGGATATTTGTGCACCACCACCTGCACCATAAAAGTGTTGTAGGTGTTCTGGAGGTAAGTTTTCAAGAGCAACGTCACCTACTTTATCATAATCCAGTATGGATATATCTGCATTGTTTAGAATGCCTGAAGAAAGCAACTGTTGTCGCAAATCATCTGGTACTTCATCGGGTAATTGTAATAGAGTTTGACTAGCCTTAACATTTGTTGTTGAAGAGTTCTCATCAGCATTGGGTTTCTGTTGAGCGGGACTGTTCTTCACAGGCTCGGTTTTCGTCGCGCTAGGGATATATGGTTTTTGAGTATCTTTTGTTTTGGCAAGTTGAGCTTCAGCAGGTAATTGATGACGTATTGTTTGTGCTGGTACTTCTTTCATATGTTGAGTATGACGCTGTTCTAGCTCTTTAAAAACATCAGAGTGATATGTAGATACACTAAATGGAGAATTATCATAATGACCTAGAGCTAAACCTGTGCCGACAGATTGTACACTTGAAGCTGATTGCCGAGGTTGTTGCGCAAAGTTTGTAGATGCTTGCACTTGTAGTGTTGGTTGAGAATTGGGTGTGATTTGCACCTGTAGACCCTCATTACTGTAGTGTGTAGGGTACTGATTATAAGCAGTGGGTGGCATTGGGGTTACAATCATTATTTTCTCACCATCTGTAGATTGTGCATATTGAGGTGGAAGGGTCGAAGATGAAAATGACTGAGAAGCAGCTGCATTTTGTACGCCGCTAGCATAACTTGTGAAATGTTGTTGTTGATTTGAATTGGTGGCGGTTATATAGTGTCCATTAACCTGTTGATGTGCATTATCTATATTACTGAAATGATCTTTCGATTGTTGTTGGGGCTTCACTGTAGGACCTAAATTGGGAGCAGGTATATCGTGGATAACCTGATTCTGTGTATTGTAGGCATATTGATTGTATTGGTTTTGTGATTGCTGCTGTGAACTCTGTTGATGATGTATAGTTTCTGTAATATGTTGCTCGTATCTTGGTATCGATTGCAGTAATTCGGTTTCTTTTGATGGTTTAATATCCAAATAGTTGTGTATAGCACTCAGAGTAGCAGAAGATTGTAAAGCAGACGGTGATTGCTGTTGATGATGTTCTTGATAATTATTTGTCTTTGAAAATTGATTTGATTGTTGTACATTTGTAGCTGTGTGTTGTTGATTTTTATTGTAATAGTTCGACGGTACAACTGGTGATGGCAATGAGAAACTTGGTTGCTGGACGTATTGTGGCTGTCGGTTGAAATGGAATTGTTGCTGTTGTTGGTGATGTTGCTTTTCTTGATCGGCTTGTTGTTGATAATGTTGTTGTGATTGATGCTGTGGTTGATGTTGCTGTTGTTGTTGATGTTGTTGCTGCTGTTGTTGTTGATGTTGTTCATGTTGTTGTTGTTGATGCTGTTGGTGATGCTGTTGTTGATGTTGTTGTTGATGTTGTTGTTGATGCTGTTCATATTGTTGATGTTGTGATTGATGTTGTTGAGTTGGAACATTATAGTTAGTATTTTCCAATTTTACTGGTATTGGTACTGGTTTAATTTGTGGTGTTGGTGCAGGTGTAGGACGGAATTTAATTGGTTGATAAGGCCCTGCATTCTGTCGTAATGGAAGTTCTTGCTGTTGTGGTGGTTCTGTTGGGAAATACACAGATTGCTTGCTGGATTGTTGTACTTTATGTGGAAAGCTTTGATAATATTGACTATGTTGATGGGATTGTTGCTGTGGATATTGTTGATTTTGATTGCTGTAATAATGCGATTGCTGAAGTGTTAATTGTTGTGTGGGATGTTGCTTTCGATACAAAGCCTGTGCTTGTGGTTGGTGTTGTGAAGTAGATGGTGGTGATGGCGGTGGTGGTGGTTGTGAGTGCGTGGGATTGAAATTTGGACGCTGATGTTGTGGCTGTTTCTGATAAAATTGTGGTGATGCTTGTGGTGGTGTTGGGGATTTGTGGTGTATTAAGTTATTTGGGGGTCTAAAGTAAGTACCCCCATGCTGCTGTGGTAGTTCTTGATAAAAACTGGAACTATGTGGCTGTTGGAAAGGTGCTGTGAATAGATGATTAGCACTTGGTAAACGACTGTGATGATTGCTTAAATAGTCGGCTCTCGTATTTGCAGGTAATAAATCACTTTTTACACCACTGCCCACATTAATTGGAGCAGGTAATGCTACTACTTGGCTTTGTATGCTCTCAGCATTATGTTCCTCTAATATATGACCAGTTTGTGATTTGTCTTCTGAACCAAAGGTTACATGTATACCACTATTGCTATGATATTTTTCAGAATCTGGGTGTATAATGGTACGTAATGTGGTACTTTTAAGTGGTGGTAAGGGTGTAACTACTTGGGGATAATGTACAACTTCTTCTTCTTCCTCATGTTCGTCATTATTAAGTGAGGCAATAGGACTTTCCAAATGTAATTTATTGTTTTGATCTTTTTTATAATTGACATAGAAAACATGTACTTTCTCTTTCTTCTTTTTAGTGACTATTGGTTGTGGTGCTGTTGTTGCGAGCGTATCATTTGAATCTTTAATAATGATTTCTATAATTGGTTCTGGTGCTTCCAGATACTGTGGATAATGTCCATAACTTCCACCATAGCCTGATGGGTATTGAGCTTTAAGGATTAAATAATATATTAATATCAATCGTAAAAAGAAATTAAAAATTGGTTACCGATAGCATTTTGTCCATTGTATAAGCCGCTTTCAGTATAGTAAGGGCGTGATTCACTTTCATAACCAGCACGTCTACTCGCAATATCTGAATAGATATAACCAGCATTACCAAAGTCGTATAAGGTACGCTTTCCACGGCTGTCCAATGGACCTTTCAATGATTTTGATGTTCTAGAACTTGTTGTTGTCTTTGTTTCCTTCTTTGTAACTTCTTTAGTAGCCGTCGCAGGTGCTGGAGCTAGTTTAGTCGTTCCACTTGGATTAGTTGAGGCATCTTTAACAGAATCCTTTTTTGCGTTTGCTGCTGCTAGGGATATCGAAATCCCAATCAACTAAAAATATATAAAATATTAAAATGTTTTAATTTATTTTTATACATCAATTTGATTTTTGCATTTTTAATTAATTTAAAGGCAAAAAATAATTTATAAATAAAAATAAATAAAATAATTTAAAGGTAAAAAATAATTCATTTTACATAGATATGATGAGAATGCTTTTTGGTACTATATCTGAATGAAAACTAAATTTCAGTCACACTAATCGTTGTTTACACAAATTTCTGCTTTATAAGAGGTGCGCTTTAGCAGAGATTGAAGATGAAGACAGTTTTAGCAGAAGCTGTGTTAACTATCATATTCATTTTGCAAGAACAAAGTCTAAAAATGTCTTTGTCATTTCACCTTATATCACTAAACATCACTAAAAATGTATTATTCATTACAGTAGAAAGAGATAACTACGCATATTATTTAAAGATCGGGGCTAAAGACAGAAATAAATGCTTCCATTTTTATTTACTTCACATGTACTTATTCTTATGTCTTCAATACAAAGAATACTTTTCTGGAACAAGAATATTGTTTATAAATTTAGTTCTTAGTTCTAGCAGATATTGTATAGAAAAGATTAGTTTACTCAAATATATATTAACAGGTTGAATAATTATATTATTATATGATTATAATAACTATATATTATGTATTAAAGTTGAGAAGTCAAATGTTGATATTCTTCACATTCATTGGGAGACATGGTTTGTCCATAGTAATGCTCTCAGTTAATGGTGAAGAGCGAGCTACGTTTAATTTAGTTCCATTGTAACATTATGTGTTGTTCTTGTTAAACTATTTGCACTATTTGGATTTTCAGATGAAAAGAAGGAGATATGATTGGTGTGTCTTCTCAACAGTGTCGTATTCAGTTTTGTGATGAGAGCGTTTACTGGTGTTAAAGATGAAGATTATGTCTCCAGTGTTGGTTTAGCAATATGGGTTCATTCGCCTGGAATTAAAATCCACATATCGTAAGGTATATCGATATAGATAGTATTTGCATATAATTATTTAAAATTAACTAGGTGCCTTGTTCAGTAACACTGCAGATGTGTTAGATAGGCTGTAGTTCCAGATAACGGAACGTGATATTCAAAAAATAACACTTTTTTTCATACTGACAGCATTTATTTCATGGTAAATGACTGTTTTTAATTATTTGTATTAAAAGCATTAAAGATTCGACGAAGTCAAAGGTAACTTTAATAATATTCTAATCAAAAATTAGAGAATAGCTGAAAAAACTTTACATTATTGTACTTTATGGATATTGGTATTCGTTTTACAGAGGCACGTAAGCGAAGAAACGAGCAGTCTTCTTAATGACAAGAACCCACTGTGATGACTTCACTGAAAGCATGGCTATATGGTCTTATTATCACATAACCTAATAGAAGGATTTAAAATCTCTTCATCACTTTTATATATCTTTAAAAAATATCAAATTCTAACTTTAACTATAATAATAAATTTTTCTTTCAATTATATTTCAAATATTTATAAATATTCTTTAAAGTGAAATCAATTATTCTCATACATAATGCAAAAAGTTGATTCAATTAAATTTTTATGTGTTATATTATTGTGTGTTTACGTAGTGTTCAGACACCATAATGAATAACAAAGAAATCCATTTTCATAATTCGAGAAAGTCAAATTCGAAAACAATAATAACATTAAGACTTGAACAAATGAAATTAGCAATGCTCAATTTATGTGAGAAATCTTTACAGAGCCGACCGTTGAACTGAATTTTGGAGGCGTTACTAAGCAACAATTAAATCTGCATAAAATCACAATAAACCATAAAGAAGTTAGCTTTCTTCACGAAACAACCTAAAATGCACCAACAAACGTCGAGTTGAATACGGCTAAAGACGGTTAAAGACAGTTAAAGACGTCTGATGGCCAACGCTTAAGACTTGGGTGTCGAGTCTTGGCACTTGCCACATTGAAATATCGGCCGACGTGTGTTGACATATCAATTGTGCGTGCTTTGACAGATTCAAGTAAACAAATATAAATTTTAACACTTTCCACTAGACTTGGTTTCAAATAAAGTGCCATGATAAATGGCTCAAAATAGTTTCACGGTGAATCGCATCGCCTTAACCAATAAAATCGTACTTCATTTGCCGAATAATTGAAGTTGAAACTTTTACAGCCCACACACACTGCATTTTCGTAATACAAATTATTTTGATAATTGTTAATACTATTATGTATTTAATTATTTTAATGGAAAAATTAATTTTCTTAAGTTTACGCATTTAATAATATTACATAAATATTGACATGTAATAGAAATATTCAGTAGTTACAGACACAGATGATACGAAGATAATTTAGGCGACTTTATTGATAATGTTATAGAGTTTATCGCCGCCAATAATATAAAGGATGAAAAGTAAACTTTATTATAAATAAATGATATTACAAATTTTTTTTTTTTTTTGCGGCAAGGAGGAGTGGAATGCCTGAGTGCCCGAATTGCACGGGCTAAACCACTCTCCCTCATTCCTAGAGACCTTGTTCTACCCCGGGACTACGTTAGTATTACTTCTAGGTAGGGTCCCTATTAGTCATTTAAGACTTCCATCGGTGTGCCCTGCGTCCAGGTCCCGCTACTGCTGCAGATATTTAATCTTGCCCTACAGTCTACTTTTTCTAATTTCAGAGTATGTGTTCCGGCTCTCATTCGTGCTTTTCGTTTAAGATTAGATTGCGTCCAGATCTTTCTTCTTTTCCCTTAGAACATTTCCGATGAATTGCGTGATTTTGTTCCAATTTTCTGCTCGGTCTATCATTTTTCTACAATATTATCGATTGTAAAATGACCTATATATCCTGCAAGAAGTGTTCTTTTTCCACGCCATCTTACTCAGTTGAAGAAAGTATGCTCAGCATTGTCCTCGACTGATCCGCAATATATACAGTTATATACAATATACACAGTTATATACAATTATAGGTCTACTGGATAATGAGGTGAATATATCATGATATACAAAATCATGATATGTATTAAGATGAGAACATATCTACCATACGAGATATAGATACTGAGGTTTTTGTAAACTAATTAAGTCTCGTATTGTATACCAACGCCGCCAACTCATCAGCTATCCCATTTTTTTCATATAATATGACATTTAATTAGTTAAATCTTGGTATGATATTTCATTACAATCTTCGATTTGATTATTTTGGATTCAAAAGCATTCAATGCTGTTAGATTATCCATAAGAACAGTGATGTTCAAAGGTTAAGGTCATTAATGTTGGCCTGGCTACTTTTCCAACATTGTATATCGTCTTAGTCTGAAATCTATGAGTATCAGGGGGTCAGTATGATTGCTTTACCTGCACTTCATTTCAGTCATATCCACATCGTATCTCTGCGCATCTTTTAGCCATTCGTGTAAATGCTAATTTTGTAGTTATCTCTAACAGATCCCAATTACCACATTTTCCTGATAGGATTAGTGTATGCAGTCAGTAGCAGATACTAAATCGAAACCAGGGAGAGATTATATAAATTGTTGATATTCTTAGTTGATTACTGCACTTAATGTATCAGTAAAGTTTTGAAATTGGTCAAGATTCTCAAAACAAGAGACCTCTAGAATATTAAAACGGCATAGCGCACGCGCTAGGTAAAACAAATGTGACGCATTTTCATGGTACGTCACGGGGAATTCATTAGTTTGATTCTAGTATAGCTTCCTAATCGACTGTGACCCGTGAGTAAACTTCCCAGAAGACTGATATCTTTGCGGGGCATT